GTCGTTCGACAAACCGACCTTCACGTCTCCGGCTCTTCACAGTACGCCGAGCCCACATCGTCAAACTTGGTACGGACCTACATCCTTCACGGCTTCCTAGGTCAGCGTCCGTACCATGGGCTACACCCATGGTAACCAAGGTAACAGAACCGCTTTACCTAAGATGCGTCAATGACGTTCGGCACTTTCTCGCCCTCCTCGCCCGCACTCAACACCCATCCTTAATCCCTCTTCCAACTTCTTGGAGTCTGCTCGTCGACGTGTCAGGGCTGTCCATATTTTTGAGTTGAGTGAATTATTGACGTTCTTGTGGAGTTATGAAATTTTTTTCTTTGTGTTTGTATTTTAGGCAAATGAAGTTCATTCGTCTTACTCCTATATATATATGTTTTTATACTACATGAATACACGTATAATACCCCTCATTTTAGACTCGTGGAGCTAGGTTTGTTTACTGTTCTAGAACATTGCCCTTCCCTCTTTGTGTTGTCCTACCCTTTTCCTTGTGCGGTTATTAAGTAATGTAATGTCGCCAATAACTCTAATCTCACCGTCCTGTCCCCAACTGTACAATTCATATTTAGCTTCGATTAGTAGACAACTTACGACCTCTTTGTTTTCCTCGGTCAATACATACCTTCCACATTTCCTTCTTTACTCATCAAATGTAATCCTTGACTTCAATTGTCACTTGTCCTCATATAATTTACTCCGCCGCATCCGTGAGAATGTTCCCATCTTGGGTGACCTTGTCTACTTTGGTGGATAATCACTCTAGACCGGAAATGGTTGTACGGAAGGTGTACGAAGGTCTCGTAAACACCTCGAAACCGAGGTCGCGTCTTCAATAAGGTACGCTTGGTAGTATTGAGGGAGAGAATAGAGGTGTAACGGCGGTAGCATATGCCTATTCCTGCGGGGTTTCTCGACATGAAAGTCAATGTTCCTCCAAATAAGACTTAGATACACTACGAGCTATATGTTTAGACCGAGAGGGTTGGTGATTTGTACCTTATGTGAATGTGTATTATCCCTTTCTTAGCAAGTTTAGAAGTACAAAACAGGTGGAGCTAATAGGACTTCAAAATTCAAATTTTCTTCCAAATCATTCTAGCAATATATCGAAAGTGTCATGAGGTGGAATTACAAACCTGTGGTGGTTGGAGGCTAATTGCCGTAAGCGAACACGCGCAGTGCCGGCTTCTAACTCCGACAGCCTCATGTACGGGATTGAGCTAGAACAACTGGGCGTAAGTCCGCTGGGGGCTGCGAAAAGCCCCGTTTCCGTCAAGCCGCTTTCTTTCTTAGTTGAGACTAACCGACAAGTCGATGGCTTAGCACCGGGTTCCTCTACTCTTAGCTTTGCTTTCAACGACCCTCGGGTTTGTTGTGACCTTAATTCTTCCGTTTTAGACATCTAAAGTACATTGAAGGTCGAAAGAGCTGCGTCCTCAACCCCTTTCGGGGCCACTCGAAGAGAGCACATCTCACTTTTACCCCTTGCCCCTATGGTGGTGTAAACAACAAACAAATATTAGTTGCGTCAGACAAGAAGAAAGAGGACTCCACATTAGTGCCGCCCCAGAACAGAGGACCATAACCGGAGAAAAACTTACGACCATTAATCGTGTGTGAATGGCGGTGCGGAACCGCGAAACACCCTCTTCCAATAACAAGGGTTGAGGCGAGTACTCGTAAGCATGCACTGCCAAGAACCGGCGGCCCGACTTCAGAAACAAATGACCAAGGAGTCACGCTGGTCGAGGCATAACCGTTTTCTGCGTCCTCTTGCACTCGCCTTCGTACTGCCGCCCCCAAGGCAGACAACAGTTAAGAAACACAGTCTAACCAACACAGCCCGGAAATCGTTCGTTCAAATAAATATGGTCGTGGAGCACCCGCACTGCGAGGGGGACCCAAGTTCCCATCAGCAAAAACACGTGGGTTTGCTATCCGGGCTCCAAAATGGTGGAATGAGCTCCCCATTGAAATCAGGACAGCAGAAAGCTTACACATCTTCCGGCGCAGACTGAAAACTCATCTCTTTAGACTCCACTTCGAGCGATAGGATTACTAACAAAGCACTTATATACTAATAAAGGACTGGCTTATCTAAAGCCAGTTGAGTAGCACTTGAAATGTTTTGGCTCTATGAAACCTGATGTACTTATATGATTCTGCTTTCTTCAAGTTTGTATCTTGTTGGTCGAATGCACTTATTGTAAGTCGCTCAAGCTCAGCTAAATGTAATGTAGTCGGCCAGAACCAGCCACCCTCCTGCAGAAAGGAGACAATCTCCTCCAAGTCCGCTTCTCAAGTCACTTATGAAACTAGGACTTTAATCTCGTAATTATGACTTTATTCTCGTAATTATGACTTTATTCTCGTAACTATGACTTTATTCTCGTAACTGACTTTATTCTCGAAATCTCTCTTTTTTTTTTCTAAGTGTGGCCCTAATACTCCATCGTACAAAAGAGTATATATTGCACAACTTGAAAATCTTATGTTTTTTTTAATGAGGGAAAAAATGAGGGAGAATGACTCGTGCGTTTTTGTTGTTTTTTTGTTAATGGGTAAAGTTTAAGCATAAAACTATCATTTAATTTTGTATAACTAGTTTTAGACATTGGATTAGTTTGTGAAAGCAACACTAAAAACCAGGCCCACTATGTATTAGACCTTACCTGTCACAGTGTTGCAGGTCTGTGAGAGACTGGTTGAGAAGGTCATCGAGGTCAAAACCCACACCGTACCCGGCCCCGCTGCCTTTAGGGGTGACGGAGAACACTGGGGGCAAAACGTCCTCCACCTGACAGGAGAAGAAGAGGAAACGATGGGTCAACTGAACTTCCTGAAGATCAGTTCAAGGCAAGTAGGAGATATGTGTGACATTTCAATCTGGTATATATGTACACAATAGAATATTTTACAAGAAAGGCACACCTGGGACTTTGAGAGCTGCAGTGTGACTGTATGGATGTCAGGGGCTACAGAGGGCCCTTGCTGTCCAGTGTCTGTGAATCCTAAACTGGGATGAGGCTGTGAGGGGACCCCTAAAGCCCCACAGAGAGGGTTTGTAGTCTGTGTCCTGGATTTCTCTCCTATAGAGGTACACAGCTTCTCCATCGGACCATTGGTTGCAGTCGAGGGGTTCGGGTGGGCGTTGAGGTTATTCTGGCGTCTGATATCAACATTCCCATTTGTCTCTCTGCTGGTTAATGTCTGAGCTTTAGCCAAAAAACTCTCCAGGGGGAGCAGTTGCGTGTGGGGTTGAGGGTCAGGCTGGGTTTGAATCTGAGGTTGGAGAAAGCTCGACGGAGGAGGCTGCGGTTTCCTGTTTGGTTGTGGTTGTTGAGGCGGCCTCGTCTCGAGATGCTGCCCGTTCCAATTCCCCAAACAGCTGAAACCACTCTGTCCGTTGCGCTCGCTGTGAGGTTTGAGCGTGTTGTTCTTAACAAAGCCACTAGTGACCGACATTATATCCATCCCTCCGCTTACAGCAACGGCCGCGTCCGCTGAAGGTTTCCTCTGGCTCAAGGAGAAATGTAAGGGTGGTGGCTGGGTGCTGGGAGGCTGAAACAGGCCCTGCTGGTTAGGTTTAACTTGTGAGAGTAATTGTTTAATAGCTTCCTTGGCTGTCTTATTGTTCACGGCTCCTTGGGTTTGATCACCGATAGCTACACCCCGGTGGGAGTTCACATTACAGTCGTTGTTCTTTGCTCCGTCGTTATTAGGAGAGTAAGATTTCTCATTGCGGCTGTCCATCATCTTTGTCCAACGTTGCAAAAGGCTTTTGTCGTCGTCACTCAGCAGAACCCCACCCAGCGAGTCCCCCTGCCTTCCCTCTCTTCTCTCCTTTTCCTTTATTTTCCTCTCCCTCTCTCGTGCTCGTTCCTGCCTCTTTTTTCTTTTCTCCTCTCTTTCCCGTTGGCGCTCCTGAGCTGTGACGGGCCGACGCGAATCTGGAACTGAAGACAGGGAGGATGATACACCTCCTCCTGCGGCAACGTCTATGCCCAGCGCAGAGGTACCTCCATCTGCAGTGAAGATAGGAAATGATGTTAAAGGGACGTCTAGAGTCAATGATATAAGAAGATATGGAAAAACAACAAACTTACCACCCCTGGCTTTGTTTCTGAGAGCTGATTTCAATAAAGCCGCTTTAAGAGCAGCTTTCGTATCCTCTGAAATGGCTCCTTCTTTTCTGGTCCCCTCTCCGCCACCTGGAGGAGGCCGGGCGTTCTTAGACAGTGACTGTGAGAGGGTCTGAGACAGAGACTGGGCCTGAACCGCGGAGAGACTTAGGGAAGGCACAGTGGCGGGTAGGGGGGTCATGGTTTGTGCTGGCGTTCCTGGAATAGATGAGGGAGCCTGGGTCATGTTCTGGTTCTGCGTGGGCTGACTTCCTGTTAGCTGCTCCTGCACCTCACTGTCTCTCATTGTTTCTGACAGAGCATCCTGACCAGACACCGGTGTTGTTAAATCTATAGTTTCAGGCTGACCACTGTCTGAGTTGGCACTGGGCATGTCCACATCAACTGGGCCACTCTCGCTTTTGGAAAGTAGAGGCAAATGATGTGTCAAGTGAGGTGGGGCGGCTTTTAAAAGGGACCCAGTTGTAAATGTGTGGCTCCCTTCTGCTGGTGTGTGATCTTGTTGCTGTTGAGATTCCACTTCCCTCATTTGCTGTTGTTGAATCTGTGCTGCTTGTGGGTGTTGTGCCATTGGAACCAGTGTGGATTTGTTTAGGTGAACAGCAGAGGGCTGAGCGTTACACTGGTTGCTGCTTTGTGCTGCTGCTCTGACGTTTGCCCTTGCCAAGGGCCTGAACTGCAGTCTTTGACGGCAGCCCTGTTTGTTTTGATGAAAGTCCTGGATCTCCATCAGAATGGCCTCTTTAATTTGTTCCCTGTTCATCTGAAGCTTGTCAAATTCAAAGTCAAAAGCTGGCACGCATATTGGCTCATCATCCGGGTCGTGGTACTTTGACAGGTAAGGATGCTCCAGCGCTTGCGTCACACTGATTCTCTCACGAGGGTCGAAGCTCAACATGTTTAGCAGCAGGTCCAAAGCCTCGGGTTCAGCTTGTGGGTACAGTTTGGCCAACGGTACAGCAGACCGTGATGGAAGACTCTGGACATAGGAGCGCACCCTGTCGGCTCTAATAGTACTTATCAACCCCTCAGGAGGAGTGCCTAACACACCCAAAATGAGCGTGAGCTGGTGGACATAGTGCTTCCCAGGAAAAATCTGCTTACGGCCCAACATTTCCGCAAAGATACAACCCACAGACCACATGTCAATAGCCAGGCTGTAGTGATTCAGAGACAGCAGGAGTTCAGGAGCACGGTACCATCGAGTTGCAACATATTCAGTCATGAAGGAGTGAGACTCCTCGGGGTGAGAACTGAGACCCCTTGCCATGCCGAAGTCTCCAATTTTCAGCTCACAGTTCTCGTTGACCAACAGGTTGGAGGGTTTGAGGTCGCGATGGATGACGTTGGCAGAGTGCACATATTTGAGGCCGCGGAGCAGCTGGTACAGGAAGTAGCGCGTGTGCTCTGAGGTGAGCGTCTGGCAAGAGTGTATGATCTGGTGCAGGTCACTCTCCATCAGGTCCAGCACCACGTACCTACACACATTGGAAATGAATCAAAGTTAAATATGTAGGAGGTATATAAAGTATAAGATGATATCAGCTACAAAACCTACCTACATTTCCAGACATAATAGTGTTGAACATAAGGTTTTGTTTTAATCTTTAATTTTGCCTCAATTTCCAAAATGCATATTTCAGGTCCACATTTTTGTTATTACATTCGAAGTTTGTGGATATTGATCAACATTACTGAATGCTCGAAATGGGTGAAAAAATGGTGAACGCCAAGATAAAGGGGTATATTGCAACTTGCTGTAAAAACTGTTGTAATGTTTAGTTGTTTTTAAATGTGTTGACTAAAATCCGACATCCAATTCTTTCATCCAAATCCCAAAGTATATAATAAAGTTAATATTTCCAGATATTGACTTTATAATACACTTGGGGTTTACAGATGTTTCAAGTCTGAGGAGGAACATTAAACAACAGTTAAAAATACTTACACAGACTTGAAGGCAGAGTGAGGAAGGTTAGGCTGCAGGATGTCTTTGATGGCGATGATGTTGTCATGTTTGAAGTGCTTGAGAATCTTCAGCTCTCGCAGTGTGCGTTTAGCATTTGTCAGCACTTCAAAAGCATTGGAGATCTTCTTTATCGCCACCTGCTGGCCTGTGAAATGTAAAGACGCCCCAATGAAGAGTTAGAATGACAATATTAACTGATAATAGTATTCAATATTGAGCATTGTGTTTATTCCTCATTAAATCAGTCCTACCATTGTCCCTTCTCCTGGCAGAGGAAACGACGCCATAGGCCCCTGTGCCGATGGTTTCTATGACATCATACTCCTCTCCAACGTCAAACTTCACGTCCAGAGAGTGTGCTTTAAGCAAAGCCAGGTTTTTCTCTGCTGTGCTGGTGTCTGCGGGGCCTCCTGTTGCCTCGACATTACCCTGGTTCTGGATTTCTCTGCTTTTATCAGTGGCCATTCTTTCAGGTGACATGGCCACATTCGGATCATTTTTTCCTTCTCCTCCCTCCTCAGTTGACATGTTCCTGTAAAGAGTCAAACAATGGCAAAGTATTTTTATATTAGGATGGTTATTTTCTAATATTGATTAAAAGACGGCAAAAAATGTATGCAAAAATCACAGAAGATAATCAAACTGATGCAAAAAGCTACACTACATTATATCAGCCCAATTTAATCAATCATATGTTCATAATTGCAAATAATAAAAAACAAGTATAATTCAGCCCTACTCAAATGTGAATATTGCTGTTATTACGTACATAAAATATCTTCATGTTTTGATGTTATAAAAAATAACCATTAGTAGCAGCAATAAATAGATGTGGCATTTATGAGAATAATACAATCCTGCATTTACACATGCATTCTTAAAACACAATATATCAGCATAACATAAAGGTGGGTAAATTGTGTTGCCTTACAAAACATACTGGTCCATTACTTACTGCTTGTTAAAATGAGTTACTGTGTGTCCTAATAATCTATCCTTAGTTAGACAAGGAAATAAACACGAAAAAACAGTGATCATCTGACGCTGAAAGACCAGAGATGAGAGCCACGGATGTGAATCAAACGGGTAATAATCTGTATTTTGAATCTAATGTAATAGTATCAAAGTTTGAAGGGGTATGTACTAGATATGTACGTGGGAAGGGGTTGCTTGCTGTTGCTATAGTTGTTCTGTATGTGTTTATAAAACCTTTCACTCAAATCTTTTACTCTCACCCCGGGCCCCCAGGAGCCAAATCAGGACTGTTTCTCAAAAGGTCAGTCAGTGGTCATTCAGGTAAAGTAGTCTGAACAGCATTACAGATTAAACCTATTGGATTCAGATAATGATTTGCCAATTTAGTGACAATATGGACTTAACAAAGGTATTGTTTGCGACCAGACGTAGACAACAAGCTGACCAGAAACTATCCATTAGGCCTGGGTGTCAGTCAAAACCTGTAGCTCTGTCAAAAGAAGGATTTTGGTTACAGCTGGAGTCTGTTGACCAATACATAGGCAGAGAACAATTCTACATGGAGTAGTCTTTAAGGAAATGCTAGTTCTTGTACTACAGAGAGGATCAAATAAACTAATTAGCCTACATGATAAAGACGCAGCCTTACCCACTTTTGACGCAGGGGCGTAGGCTAACGTTACCTGAAGCTGAGGCTTTCTGTGAACGTAAATCGTTAAACAATGTCCATCTCGGTTTATATTACCAAATAGGACACAAATAAAAACGTGTTTCGAAGTGAAAGACTAGACTCTCACCTTGTGAAACACCCACAACATTCGTAATTGTGTTTTTAATCCCGTAGTAGTACTGCTATCTCTTGTTTTTGTCTGCCGCTTCCTTGTACAGTTCCTTGTTCGGGTTTGAGTGACATGTGGCCGACCAACCACGTTTACGACGTCCGAGAGATTGTCCAATAAAGAGCAGAGAACGTGATGGGAGGCGGGACATCACCGCAGACAGTAGGGTCTCTGTTTTTGGGTGGTAGTAGTGTGACGCTGTTTTCCAGGATACATTTTCGGAGGGGCCATATTGGGAGACATTTACCTGCATTTAAACCTCTTTGTATATGTACTGGACTTAAATAACAACTAGTGAAGTAGAACAATACATACTACCACTACTACCTTCACAATTACTAATTACTAAACTGATAAAAGGTCAATAATAATTACACTAATAATTTAACTTGGAGCCTGCATGTTGATGGATAGACAGAAGAATGGGGAGATAGACAAAAGGGAGACGGATAGATGGCTTTGAAATCAAATAAAAACTTTAGTTGTTGCGTAAATTAATTATGCACAGTGATGGCTAGTACAGTCTTAATGCTTACATTCATTAACTTGTTTTATTATTCATATTTGTTGATAGTTTATACTTACAATACTTATTTGACATCTTCATATCTATAAATCAAGAATCAAATAATCAAACTTCTATCACAATAAGGGTTAATCATGGCATAGCTGGCACTTCAATTTAACACAACTTTAATTAGTAATTTGGTCATGTAAACAGATGTGAACACATCATTTATTAACAAGGTTGACACAACGACCTTTTTGTTTATAATTTACTCTAGTGGTGCAGGCATGTAATAAGAATAAAGTAGTTAAAATTAGTTATAGGCTATGTACGGATAAAAGCGTCAGCTAAATGCTATGTAATGTAATGTAATGTAATGTAATGTAATGTAACTAATGTATTCCCGTTCCAAAGCCTAATCTTTACCTTAAATGGGCGGCGGTGGCTCAACTATGTATAACATTTGAATGCAGACCTGCTACTTTAAATTGATTTTGGTGTAAATTAGTACTTCTTCCAGCAGTGATTTTCTAACACCAAACAGACTGAAGTCCACATTAAATACACAGTAAACAGTCCTCCTGGCTGGTCCGTATCCGGCTGTCCAATGAGAGGCCGAGACAAAAACCACCGGACCAATCAAAACCGAGAACCCAATTTTGTAACACGTCGCTTCCCAGGAGAGCAATTTAGTGAAGTTTGGAAGGAAAACGAATCGGACATATACAGTCATATCAATAAACTGAACTGTAATAAACATGGCATTGCCGAAATGGGAGAGAAAGGCGCGGGTATTTCTCTGCGTGTTCGGTTTGTTGTTGTCTGTTTATGCGCTTCACGTCGAGCTGTCCCGAGAAAGTAACCCAGATTACAGAGCGATGTGCGACCTGGGGGAGTCGGTGAGCTGCTCCAAGGTTTTCACCTCCAGGTATGTTAGCTATTTCTCGTGTGTTTGCTCATACCTGCTCAATTGTGCATAATCCCTATACCGCGACTTGTACTTCAGCGACAATTGAATGATTTTGTGCTTTTACATGATCTTGTTAAATTTGCATCTCCAGCCCAATACATTATTGCCACGTGTTAAAATCCTTTAAATGCTTTAAACCCCTTAAATCAGATACTGATCTACAATACCAAGTAGAAAATCTTCTTTACATTTTTTGTTTTATAAGCTGCATGCCTGATTGTTTTACAGGAGATATAAACCATTATGTAGGCTATCTATTTACTTTGTTTTCAATATGTCCTTGTTATGTCCTGACTGTCCCTTTTTTCTTTTTTGGCAGATGGGGACGTGGTTTTGGTTTGGTTCAGTTCTTTGTTGCCGCAGATAACCCTCTGAACCAGCCCAACAGTGTGCTTGGCATCATATTTTACACTCTGCAGATGGGCCTGGGTTAGTTTGTCATTATCCCCTGCAAATTACAGTGCAGTTTTGAGTGTTTTTGTATATGCAAATTAATGTAACATTCAGAATGTTAGTCAACCATAGCTGCGCCTGCCTCAACATTTTTTAAGCAATCATATAAGTCATGCAGGATTTCACCAACATTACTTATCTAACATATATCTAACATTTTTTTTATTTCAGGTCTGTCTCTGTCCAAAAAAGCAGCAATGTTGTTGGTCTTCTTCTCCTGGGTGTCTGTGGCCGGCTCACTCTACCTTGCATCTATTCTCGCCTTTGTTCTGGGGGATTTCTGCATGGTCTGCGTCTCAACATATATTGTCAACTTTGTGTTGCTCTTCACCAACATCAAACGTAGGAGAGCAATTGAAGGAGTGAAGGAAAAGACTGGATAAAAAGGGACACTTGTGAAATTCTAAACCTGAAGCCTCACTGGATCTGAAAGCACGTTGTCTTCCACAGTTCTTCTGCATGCTGTTAAGACCTTTCAGAGAAAAAGGGGTTGGATATACTTCAATGAAAATGTTCAAGATGATTTTTAGTACAGAAACCTGTAAGAGCTGCTGTCATTTTTGTATAAGAATGTGCATTTGTGATGGTGAATACACATCTTTGAACACTAACTCTTGTCTCATGTGATTAAGGCCTGGCTTGTTGTAAGATCCTAAAAATGGGAATACATGAATCCACATTCTAAAATACTAGGTGGTAAAACAATGAAGAGACATGCAGTTACTCAGTGTACCCAGGAGATAGAGCCAAAGAGCACGAGATAATCGTGGTGAATGTAGAGGTAAAGTGTTATTTTGAAACCACAGTATTCACATGGTTAAACAAACCCATGTAATGTGATATGGTCTTCAGAAAAAAAATGGCTAACTGCTTGCTTAACAGGTAGGATTTTTTTTTTAGTTTCTGTTGCCAGCTTGTGTTGTTTGGAAGGTTAATTATTTGCTATGATCTCAAGAATCTTTTTGAGATGAAGAACAAACATGAAAGAGCAGGATAATGGGATAAATCAGGCCTTTTGTGCCGAACAAACATAGCTAATGTTAGCTACATCAACTGGGTGTAAACTGAAAATTGAGGAGTATAAAAGTAAGTTGATGAGACCGGCTATGCGCCAAGCCAGTCACATTTATCTGAAATGGCACATAATGTAAGATTTTATAATTTTCTGGTTTTGCATCCGTCCAATTTGTTGCCCAAACATTTTTCACTCACTACAGTCTGTTACCACCAACACCATTTCACGTCCTATTCAGCAAGTCTAAATTAGTACTGCTGCTATTGATTTTCTGGATGCAGTGAAAGGTTCAAGAAGCCCCACCTGTTGAGACACAGCGTAGTTTGTCACTAGTGTTCACTTTATCCAACTGGGCCAAATTGATTGATTTTGTTGTGGCACAGAATCTGTCCTGTCATTACATCAGTTTTCAGTCAAACCGTAGGACTTAATTCCTGCTGCCACTGTGACCTTCATCAAACATCTGATAAAGAAAAAATGAAGACAAATGTCATTTTTCACGTGTCCATTCACTTTACAGGTAACTACAGTGTCCAAAACAATACCTTGCTCAATTCAATGACAAAGCCTAGATCAATAGAAACACAAAAGAAAGTGTCAATCCTTTACAAATGTGTAGAAAGGAGAGAGTTTGTTTCACAATACAGTATTGTTTCAGCAGCTTGATTGAGTGAGGACACACTGCGTCACAAACAGACATTCTTCCTCATAAGAGACAGCTTCCTTCCTCATAAGGTATTCTTCTACATTTCTACATATTCTTAAAAGCCAATGAATTAGTCAGTTGTGTTTATCCCATTATTCCTTTGACCATTTTTTTATTTCACATTCTTACTTTTACTTCTTATGTTTATTTAGACATCTTTATTATATTTTTGATCTATATTTATTTCTATGTTTTCTAAAATGGAGCAACTGTGATATCCTCTGGGACAGTATTCTGACTGATCATTTGCTTTAAAACATGGCAGCAATGTTATATGTTAATTTTAACAGTATCCATCCTGCAAGGGTCTAATTATCAAATGTGGTGTTGATAGCTGAAAACCAAAAGACTACACTACTGTATTTAGGTATTTACAAGCCATTCATACGATGAGCTGGCTGTGTCAAATGTTCAGACATCATTCAAGTTGGACTTCAGCATATTTTCTTTCTTTTTTTTACCTTTATTTAACCAGGATAGGTCTCATTGAGATTAAAATTATCTTTTTCAAGAGAGTCCTGGTCCTGGCCCAAGAATGGTTACATCACAGTTACAGACAGTTTTAACACACAATCAAAACACAATCATACACTAAGTTTAGCCAAAGCATTTACAGACACAGCGGCCTGCTTCAATGTCAGTTATGGTAGCTTTTAGTCAGTTTAATGAGACCAGCTCTCTGAGTTTCAGCGCGGTTTGAAGCTGGTTCCATGCTTCAGGAGCAGCGTAACTGAACGCCCTCCTCCCCATTTCAGTACGGACTTTTGGTACAGTTAAAAGGAAAAAGTCCTCGCTCGGAGTGAAGCCGATAAGATCCTGTGCATTTTCTGTTCATGTAGATCCTTAGATAAGGAGGAAGAGCACCAAGAATAGCCTTATAGAGAGTATAGGTTGCAGTGGTGCGTCAAGGTTTTGAGGTTTGTGATTAATCTCAGTGCACCATGGTAGACGGTATCCAGCGAGTGAAGGCACTGAGAAAATGCATAAACCACATCTCCATAATCCAGCACAGACAGAAAGGTTGCAGACACTAGTCTATTTTTGACCTCATAAGAAAAACAGGACTTGTTTCTAAAGAAAAAACCTAATTTTATTCTTAGTTTTTTCAAAAGTTCCACAATGTGTGTTTAGAAAGAAAGCTAATTTATATAGCACTTCTGCCGCAGGCACTTGTTTTGTTTAAAACCATAGAAGTTGAAGTTGCTTTCTCTACCACAGAAAATGTAGTAGAAAAACATATTGTGAACTTCAATTGATAGTATGATATTTAGTTTCACCTTCCATTGCAAGAGGCTAAAGATAGGATCAAGAGAGTTACACAGAGTAAATACCATGTTTTGCAAACTGTTAAAGCCACAGATAAAATCTTATTCTACTCTTTGTTTTAACTTTCTCTCTTACCACAGTGGCTCTGGATTAACTCTGCAATGCAGTGTACCAACACAGGTCCATTTAATGTAGAGATGTTGGACTACTTGGTTCTGAGGTCAGTGAATCAATTCTCTATTTGGACAAGAAAATATGTGTGATCAAATCATGCTTTAAAGTTTGCCGTCTTACTAAGATTGAAAGAATAAATCCTAATGCAATCATTTAAATTGACTGTAGTTACAGCTCAAAGGCTCTTCTCTGGTGCCAGACCATGCCATCATTTCAGGAATTAGGAAAGCATTACAACTTGGAATTTTTGGCAGAGAATTTGTAACAACAAAGATCTGAAGTTGTACAGTAATATTATTTCTAGAGTGTTGTATGTCTTTTAAAAATGGACCTTGATGATGATGATTACCTGACAAAATGTTGACTTGCCTTAAATACTTTAATGTATGAAACATCAACCAGAAAACATGCATGCAATGCCACTAAAGCATACATCCCTATACTTCTAATAGATAGACGGATAGATGGATAGACAGATAGACAGACGGATAGACAGACTGATAGACAGACGGATAGACAGACAGACAGACAGACAGACAGACAGACAGACAGACAGACAGACATACTTTATGTTCCCAAGTTGGGAAATTGTTTAAAACTACTGTAGGGTGTTGTGGATAATTTTCCCTGCTGTTGGATGCTTTAATAGCACAGTTTAAACCTTTTTGTAGTAAATTATTTTAGTAACTTTTGTGTCCTAACATGACTGTGGACATACGTTTAATCCGTTCTGCTGAGAACAATGGTAGAACAATATTAATCAAGTTCACTTCCTGCTGGGTTGTTTTCAAATGTTACATAACTGCCTTCGAAAAGGCTCTTTCTCCTTACTTCCATGACGCATATTTGCACCTAAAGGCTTGACAGAAAATGACGGATTAAGTGTGCAGTTTGCAGACCTAACATGAATGTATGTAACTGTGTAGTATTGTTGTTCCTGCGTAAGCCATGTCATGAACTTGTCAGCAAGAGCTATTCATAACTTAGGTTGAGGTCTTTACCTTTTGTTGAGATTCTCTTTATTGTCTTTCTATTGAAAGAAAGGAAAAGTTATTATCGGTGATGAGCTATAGAGTCAAGGTAGTGGAGGAAAGGTTTTTGTTGAAACTCTGGATGACGAATTTCTTCATGTTATGTTTTGATATGAAAAAGCTGCGGCTGAACGACTGATCTTGCCTAACTAACCCAATATCCGGTTTGAATGTATAATATCTTTCTTTTATTATGATAAATAACACCATTGTGTTTTCAGATGGGTTGAGAATAGACTGCTTTGGATAAATTGATAGGGAGAAAAAAAGGTACATTTTGATAATTGATCCATTGTCAATATGGCACAAAATGCTGTTTAGACTGCTTTTATCTGTTTTGTATCTAATTATCTTAATATCTTTACGTTTTAGACAGACACAAAAACAAATTTAAAGACATCGCCAAGGGCTTTGAGAAAAAGCGATTGACATTTTTCACTTTTTTCTGAAATGTTATTGACAAAAGGGTTAATGGATTAATAGAGAAAATAATGTTGCAGTTCAATCAACTATGAAAGTAATCCGCAGCCCTACTTTGGGGTACGAAGCAACTATGATTAAAGCATGTAGTAATTATTGCAGCTGACATCGTACTGTAGATACAGTATATGCTTTTTAACCTTTTTTGAGTAGCCTTAATGCTACGTCACGTCATTAGCAGGACAATAGCTAGACAGCAGTGTCAAAACAAGGATGGAAGTGAACTCTGAAATACCCTTTTCTTCTACACCAAGTTGGCCAAGGTGATGAAATACATAATGCAGACAATGACCACAGACAGTTTCGTCAAATCTTGTAAGAATGTTCCACTGCTGTCGATTTTTCAACTACAAACATGTTCGGTCTGTACCTTATCTGCGTTTGCAAAAGTGTAATTAAAGGGAACACAAAAGAAGCGTAGCAGCAATATAGATTTATTCAGATCGATTGGACTGTGAAAGGGGAAGTTCGGTCTTCAAACCAAGTACTCATATTCCAATCTGATATAAAATTGTTTTAATTGTCAAATAAAATTGGAGTAATAATCTTTGCTTTGTTTTAATCTAGTTTTTCACTAATAAAACATTACAGATTAAACTATTACAGTTAAGGGACTTATAGTCAGGACAGTGGCCTCTTAAATCTGTATAAAAGGACATTCATGGATCATCGTAGTCATTTATTCACAAAAGTTGAGCAATACAAACAAGGAAACTATAACTATTTTAGATGATGCGGGGGGTGCTTGATGGGAGCGGCAGGTGACAGGTCAAAAAGAGTATATAAAGAGTGACAAACAGGAGTCTAGCAGTCGCAAAATGGCTTCAGGAAAGTGGATCTGTGTATTGACTTTTTGCATTTTAACTGCAGGTAAGTCACACTTACATTTGAGGATAGGCCTTATTGAAAAAAAGGTCTTAAAATGATTTAACTTTCTAC